TTCATGGTTAGGAAGAATCAATATCGTGAAAATGGCCATACTGTCCAAAGTAATTTACGCTATCCCCATCAAGCTACCAATGACCTTCTTCACAGAACTGGAAAAAAACACCTTAAACTTCATATGGAACCAAAAGAGAGCCCGCAGAGCCAAGTCAATTCTAAGCAAAAAGAACAAAGGGGGAGGCATCACACTACCGGACTTCAAACTATACTACAAGGCTGCACTAATCAAAACAGCATGGCACTGGTACCAAAACAGAGATATAGATCAATGGAACAGAACAGAGGCCTTGGAGACAACAAAACCTATCTACAACCATCTGATCTTTGAAAAACCTGACAAAAACAAGCAACGGGGAAAGGATTCCCTGTTTAATTAATGATGTTGGGAACACTGGCTAGCCATGTGCAGAAAGCAGAAGCTGGACCCCTTCCTGACACCTTACAGTAAAATTAACTCCAGATGGATTAAAGACTTAAACATAATAACTAGCAACATAAAAACCCTAGAAGAAAATGTAGGCAAAACCATTCAGGACATATCCGTAGGCAAGGACTTCATGACCAAAACACCAAAAGCATTGGCAACAAAAGCCAAAATAGACAAATGGGACCTAATCAAACTCCACAGCTTCTGCACGGCAAAAGAGAGTCATTAGAGTGAATCAGCAACCAACAGAATGGGAAAAAATGTTTGCAGTTTACTCATCTGACAAAGGGCTGATATCCAGAATTTACAAAGAACTAAAACAGATTTACAATAAAAAAAACAAACAAGCCCATTCAAAAGTGGGCAAAGGATATGAACAGATACTTTACAAAAGAAGACATACGTGAGGCCAACAAACATATGATAAAATGCTCATCATCACTGGTCATCAGAGAAATGCAAATCAAAACAACATTGAGATACCATCTCACGCCAGTTAGAATGGCGATCATTAAAAAATCTGGAGACAACAGATGCTGGAGAGGTTGTGGAGACACAGGAACAATTTTACACTGTTGGTAGGAGTGTAAATTAGTTCAACCATTGTGGAAGACAGTGTGGCGATTCCTCAAGGACCTAGAATTAGAAATTCCATTTGACCCAGCAATCCCATTACTGGGTATATATCCAAAGGATTATAAATCATTCTACTATAAGGACACATGCACATGAATGTTCACTGCAGCACTGTTTACAATAGCAAAGACCTGGAACCAACCCAAATGCCCATTGATGATAGACTAGACAGGGAAAATGTGGCACATATACACCATGGAATATTATGCAGCCATAAAAAACGATGAGTTGGTGTCGTTTGTAGGGACATGGATGAACCTGGAAACCATCATTCTCAGCAAACTGACACAAGAGCAGAAAATCAAACACTGCATGTTCTCATTCATAGGCGGGTGTTGAAGAATGAGAACACATGGACACAGGGAGGGGAGTGCCACACACTGGGTTCTGTTGGGGGGAAAAAGGGGAGGGACAGCTGGGGGTGGGGATTTGGGAGAGATAGCATGGGGAGAAGTGCCAGATGTGGGTGATGGGGAGGAAGGCAGCAGATCACACTGCCATATGTGTCCCTATGCAACAATCTTGCATGTTCTTCACATGTACCCCAAAACCTAAAATGGAATAAAATAAATTATAAAAAATATTTTTTATAGCAGCATGACTAAGTATTATTTTAATAGCAAATATTGGAGTCAACTTCAATTTTGAACAGGATAAGTAATTATGATGCAGCACATTGAACAGTCTTCTATTAAGCTAAACAAGAATTAAAAATGATATTGAAATATATTTACTGAAAAGAAACACGTTCGTGATATACAGTTAAGCACAAAATAATTCTGGTTATAAGAACATACGGTCAATATTCACTGATTTTTATAAGAATATTTGACAGATAGGTAGGGGGAGAAGGGAAGAGGAGGGTTGGGGAGGGGAAGGGAGAGGAGGGATAGGACATTTGGGTGGATTCACATCAAAAGGTTCAGAAGGAAATGATGTTTTTTTTTCTGGATGTGACTATTGCAGATTTTATTTTTAACTTTCCCCCTTTCCTTGTTTATTTATATTTTCTGATTTTAAGATAAACTATATATATTACTTTTCAACTTAAAAATACTTTTGTGTGAGAAGTCCCATTTGGGTGCCCTTCTCTTTTGAAAGAAAGAAAGCTGTTCTCTGGGCCAGGTGTGGTGGCTCACACCCATAATCCCAGCACTTTGGGAGGCTGAGGTGGGAGGATCACCTGAGGTTGGGAGTTTGAGACCAGCCTGACCAACATGAAGAAACCTCGTCTTTACTAAAAATACAAAATCAGCCAGGTGTGGTGGTACATGCCTGTAATCCCAGCTACTTGGGGGGCTGAGGCAGGGAGAATCCCTTGAATCGGGGAGGTGGGGGTTGTAGTGAGCCAAGATTGCACCATTGCACTCTAGCCTGGGCAACAAGAGCAAAACTCTGTCTCAGAAAAAAAAAAAATAGTGCTTCAATAATACAGAAGAAACTCAATTTCAAACATTGCAGATAATTAAAGCATTACTAACTGTAGAAATGCTTACTTTCACAATTTCTGTAGTGATATTTAAGACCCGATATCACCTTGGGAGTTAGAACTGGTGCAGGATCTTGTCCTAACACTTCCAAAAAGGCATGTAGCTGCCCCAGCTCTATATGTTTATGTTGTCTTATAATAGAGCAACTAGTTGTTTATTAGGATGGCCAAAAAGGCACATTTCAAAAATGCCTATTAAAATATTAGTAGTACAAATAATAGTGTTGCTTAATTTTTTCTAATGAGAACTGATAAAATTCCAAAACAACATAAGCAGATAAATAGTAATAATATGGTTTAATCAAATTAATTGTAATATCATTATTAAAATGAGATTATGTATGTTAAGTAGTGGTATCTTAAGCCACTGAAATATCTTCCTTGATCTAGCATGAGTTTTCTATGGAGATTAAAAAGATGTAAAATTGAAAAGTCTTGGTTAATAAATGAAGGTGCAAAGCCAGAAACTCTGTTTAAAGAACTAACAACAAAGGTCATGAATGATGTGGTGGTTGTTACATTTTCTTGTTTACCCGTGGAAAAGACTATGCTCAAGCATGTATTGAATCCAGTGATAGCCAGAATGTCATCCATACTGCTAGCAGCCATCAGTAAGGTTGGAATGCCTTTCTTAATACCATATCCATTTTCTTGCAACAGCAGCATGGAAGGGACAATAACAGCAGGAGAGACAGCACCTAGAATAAAACTGAAAGAAAGACTGAAAATTAATTTTAAAGTACCTTTTAAATCAAATAGTGTTTTATAAGTACAAGTCGTTTATAATAACTTTACATTGTTTAGAAGAATTTCAAATTTGAGTGAATGCAATTTAATGGTTATAAAACTTTTCATGCATTGTTTAGTGTTCGCTAAAATGTTATACAGATGTGGTTTAAAATGTTGGGCTGAGCATAGGTTGTAGTCTCTCCCTCTATTTCTAAATCCTTTGAAGTGAAGATGTAAAAGTAATAGAAAAATTCATAACCTAACTAGAAAGCAAAAGGTGAATCCTCAATGGACAGGAAACTAAATATATCCCAGGAAGATAAGAGACAGACAATTTAGGATTGAAAAAAGGAAACCATAAATCAAAATGTGTGTAAGTAATATTGCTTCAAAAGATATGTGTGCTTCTAAAAGTACTCCAAACCCTGAAATGGCAGATTCTGGGAGCAAGAGAGACCTCTGGGGAAACCAAATTGTTGATTATTTGGAGTACCACTGTAAGAATGGCCAGACAAATCTTCCTTCCACACATTTCCTACTTCTTGAGTAAGTAAGGAATGAAGGAACAGAGATGTCTGCCCTAAAAAACAAGTGTGGCCACCTAAGTTACAAAGGCAAATGAGAAAATTTCTGGAGTGGGTGATGACACCCATGAGGAATGGAGAGACTCCTACTCAGATTACCTTCTGTTGGCATATCTTAATCAGAATTTTGCCTCATCTCTTCTACATTTATTTTATAAAGGCTGAAGTATATCCTGTGTAGAAATGCTCTTGGTGTTCCTGCCAGAAACCATTTATGAGGTCAGTGAACAGCTGCTGCTTGTTGGCTGCTAACATCTGCAGGTTTCTAGAACCCTTGTCCTGCTGACAAGCACTTACCTGGGTATACTAGGGAGGTTTTGCAGCCCTCTACCTTCCCTCCAGACAGCATCTGCCAATGACTGACTGATGTGAGGGTATAATTATTTTGCCCATTTGCTTCTGGCTATACAACCTCTATGGTGCAATTTATGCTACAGATTTCCCTGTGGACTCAAGAAGAGACTAGTCTTCTCTAAGATCACATATCGGTCTATTTCAGTGGTTCCTGAACTCTGCTGCACATTGTAATCACCTGTTGTATTATTTTTCTCACTTTGCTTAACAAACCATTCTCAAACATAGGAGCTTCAAACAACAAATATTTATTGTCTAGTGAGTTCTGTGGGTCAGGAATATGGCTTAGGTGTATGCCTTGACTTAAGACTTCTCATGAGGCAGGTGGGGGTTGAAGAAGATCTGCTTCCAAGTTTATTCATGTAGCTATTGCAAGCTGTTAATGGCCACCACAAAAATACATTTAAGTACATACACCATTGACACTGTAAAGCAACTACACAATCAAGTCTGTGTAATAACCAGCTAACAGCATAATGATAGGACCAAATCCAAAAATATCAATATTAACTTTGAATGTAAACTCCCTGAATGCCTCATTTAAAAGTCACAGAGTGGCAAATTGGATAAAGAAGCAAAGCCCAGCTGTATTCTGCTGTCAAGAGACCATCTCATATGCAACAATACCCATTGGCTCAAAGTAAAGGGATGGAAAAAATCTACCAAGTAAATACAAAACAAAAAAGGGTAGGCATTGTTATTTTAATTTCAGAGAAAATAGATTTTAAACAAACAACAATAAAAAAGGACAAAAAAGGTACTACCTAATGATAAATGGTTCAATTCAACAAGAAGACTTAACTGTCTGAATGATATATGTGCCCAAAACTGAAGTATTCATATTTATAAGATGAGTTCATAGAGACCTATAAAGAGACTTAGATAACCAGAGAATAATAGTGGGAGACTTCAACATCTTACTGACGGTACTAGACAGATCATGAGACAGAAAATGAACAAAGATATTCAGGACCTGAAGTCAACACTTGGCTAAATGGATCTAATAGCCATCTACAGAACTCTCCACCCAACAACTACAGAATATATATTCCTCTCATCTGTACCTGGCATATACTGTAAAACTGACCACACTATCAGCGATAAATTTATTTTCAACAAATTAAAAAAACCCTGAAATCATACCAACCACACTCTTGGACAGCACAGTGCAATAAAAATAGAAATCAACACTAAGAAGAACTCTCAAAACCTTACAATCACATTGAAATTAAACAACCTGTGCCTGAATAACTTTTGGGGAAACAATAAAATTAAGGCAGAAACCAAGAAATTCTTCAAAACTGGTTAAAACAAATATGCAACATACTAGACTCTCTAAGACACAGGCAAAGGAGTGTTACGGGAAAAGTTTACAGTGCTAAATGCCCACATTGAAAAGTTAGAAAGATCTTAAATTAACAACCTAACATCACACCTAGAGAAAATAGAAAACCAACAGGAAACCAACCCAAAGCTAGCAGAAGAAAAGAAATAACCAAACCAGAGCAGAATGGAATGAAATTGAGTCATGAAAATCCATACAAAAGATAAATAAAACTAAAAGCTGGTTCTTTGAAAAAATAAATAAATCTGACAGGTCACTAACTAGACCAATAAAGCGGGGGGAAAAAGAGAAGATCTAAAAAACAAAATCAGAAATGACATAAGTGGACATTATTGCCAATCACACAGAAATACAAAAAACTTTCAGACGTTATTATGAACATCTTTGTGCAAACAAAGTAGAACACCTACAAGAAATGGGTAAATTTCTGGAAACACAGACTCTCAAGATTAAACTAGAAAGAAATTGAAACCCTGAACAAACCAATAATGAGTTCTGAAACTGAATGAGTAATAAAAAGTCTCTGAGAAAAAAAAAAAAAAAAAAAAAAATTCATAGACAAATTCTACAAGAAGTGTAAAGAAGAGCTGGTACCAATGCTGCTGAAATTATCCTAAAAAAAATGAGAAGGAAGGATCCCTCCCTAACTCACTTTATAAAGCCTGCATCTTTCAGATATGAAAACCTGTCAGAGACACAACAAAAAAGAAAACTTCAGGCCAATACGAGGCAACTGAATCCAGCAGCACATCAAAAAGCTAGTCCACTATGGTTAAGTAAACGTTATCCCTGGGATGCAAGTTTAGTTCAACATACACAAATCAATACATGTAATTCATCATATAAACAGAAGTAAAAATAAAAACATCCCTTCACGATATAAACCCTAAACAAATGAGTTACCGAAGGAGCATACCTCAAAATAATTAGAGCTGTCTATGACAAACCCATAGCCAATGTCATACTGAATGGGAAAAAGCTGGAATATTCCCTTTGAGAACTGGAACAAAACAAAGATGCCCACTCTCACTAGCCCTATTCAACATAGTGCTGGAAGTGTTACCCAGAGCAATCAGCCAAGAGAAAGAAACACAGACATCTAGGTAGGAAAAGCAGAAGTCAAATTGTGCCTTTTCATAGATGAAACACTTTATACCAAGAAAACCCCTTAGTAGCCTCTCAAAAGCTCCTAGATCTGACAAACAACTTCAGCAAAGTTTCAGGTTACAAAAATCAGTGTACAAAATCTGTAGCATTTCTGTACACCAACAACATCCAAGCTGAGAACCAAATCAAGAATGCAGTCCCATTCACAATAGCCACAAAAAACCCACAAAATACCTTGGAATACAACTAAGCAGTGAGGTGAAAGATCTCTACAATGAAAAATTACAAACCATTACTAAAAGAAATCAGAGACAACACAAACAAAAGGAATACATTCCACGATCACAGATAGGAAGAAGCAATATTCTTAAAATGGCCATACTGTCCAAGGCTGTTTACAGAGTCAATGCTACTCCTATCATACTACCAATGACATTTTTCACTGAATTAAAAAAAGCATTCTAAAATTCATTTGAAGTCAAAAAAGAGCCCAAATAGCCAAAGCAATCCTAAGCAAAAAGTACAAAGCCTAAAGTGTCACACTGCCTGACTCTGAACTGTACTACAATGCTACAGTAACCAAAACAGCATGGTACTGGAACAAAAACAGACACAGAGCTATGAAACAGGTTACAGAACACAGGAATAAAGCTGCACACCTATAGCCATCTGCTCTTCTACAAACTTGACAAAAACAAGCAATGGGGAATGGAATCCCAATTCAGAAATTGTTCTGGGATAATTCGCTAGCCATATGCAGAAAATTGAATCTGGACTCCATACATTTCACAGTTTACAAAAATCAACTTAAGATGGATTAAAGACTTAAAATGTGGCTGGGCGTGGTGGCTCACGCCTGTAATCCCAGCACTTTGGGAGGCCAAGGCGGTGGATAATGAGGTCAAGAGATCAAGACCATCTAGGCCAACATGGTGAAATCCCATCTCTACTAAAAATACAAAAATTAGCTGGGTGTGGTGGTGCATGCCTGTAGTCATAGCTACTTGAGAGGCTGAGGTAGGAGAATCATTTGAACACGGGAGGTGGAGGTTGCAGTGGGCTGAGGTTGGGCCACTGCATTCAAGCAACAGAGTGATACTCCATCTCAAAAAAAATTCTTAAAATGTAAACCCAAACTATAAAAACCATGGAAGATATCCTAGGAAATACCATTCTGGACACAGGCCATTCTGGACATATCCTAGAAATTTCAATTCTGGAAAACATTTTATGATGAAGACGCCAAAAGCAATTGCAACAAAAACAAAAATTGACAAATGGGACCTAATTAAGCTAAAGAGCTTCTGCACAGCAAAAGAAATAATCAGCAAACAACCTGTGGAATGAGAGAAAATATTTGCAAACCATGCATTCAACAAAAGTCTAACACCCAGAATCCAAAAAGAACTTAGAAAAATCAACAAGCAAAAACCTAACAGCCCATTAACTGGGCAAAGGACAGGACCAGACACTTCTCAAAAGGAGACAAACACATGTCCAAGAAGCATATGAAAAAATATTCAACATCACTAATCATTAGAGAAAAGCAAAACAAACTACAATGAGATACAATCTCACAGGAGGCAGAATGACTATTATTAAAAAGTCGAAAAGTAACAGATGCTGGCGAGCTTTGGGAGCTACTCCTAGGTCTTTTGGAGGCTGAAGCACATAAGAATTTCTTGAACCTGGGAGGCAGAGGTTGCAGTGAGGTGAGATTGGGCCACTGTACTCCAGCCTGGGCAACGGAGCAAGACTCTGTATCCAAAAGAGAAAGAAAAAAAAAAAAGAAAAACAAACACAAACAAACAAAAAGCACACAAAAATTACATAATCACCAAACAGATGCAGAGCATTTGACAAAGTTTAGCATTCCTTAAAACTCTCAGCAAAGTTGGCATAGAAGGGACATACCTTGGGTAATAAAAGTCACCTATGAAAAACTCACAGCCAACATTATACTGAATGGGGAAAAGATGAAAGCATTCCCCCCAAGAACTGGAACAAGACAAGCATGCCCACTTTCACCACTTTTATTCAGCATAGAAGTCCTAGCCAGACCAATCAGGCAAGAGAAAGAAATAAAGGGCATCCAAATCGGTAAAGAGGAAGTCAAACTGCTGCTGTTCATGATGATATAATTGTATAACTAGAAAAGCCTGAAGACTCATCGAAAAAGCTCCTAGATCTGATAAATGAATTCAGTAAAGTTTCAGGATACAAAATCAATGTACACAGACCAGTAGCACTGGTATACACCGATGGTAACTGAACTGAGAATTAAAGATCTCAACCTCTTTTACAACAGTTGCAAAACAAAACAAAAACAAAGAATAAAAAAACCCAAACACACAAACTTAGGAATATACCTAACCAAGGAGGTGGAAGACTTCTACAATGAAAACTACAAACACTGAAGAAAGAAATCATAGATTACATAAACAAATAGAAACACATCACATGCTCATGGATGGGTAGAATCAATATTGTGAAAATGACTATACTGCCAAAAGCAATCTACATAGTCATTCTTCCCCAAACTAAAAAAGGTTATCCTAAAATTCATGCGGAACCCAAAAATAGCCTGCATATCCAAAGGAAGACTAAGCAAGAAGAACAAATGTGGATGCATCACATTACTTGACTTCAAACTATGCTATAAGGCTATAATCACAAACGCAGCATAATACTAGTATAAAAATAGGCACATAGACCAACAGAAGAGAATAGAGAACCAAGAAATAAAGCTAACTGATCTTTAACAAAGGAAACAAAAACATAAAGTAGGGAAAGGACATCCTATTCAACAAATGGTGCTAGGATAATTGGCAAGCCACATGTAGAAGAATAAAACTGGATCCTCATCTCTCACCTTATACAAAAATCAACTCACGATAGATCAAAGACTCAAATCTAAGACCTGAAACCATAAAAATTCTAGAAGGTAACATTGGACATACCCTTCTAGTCACTGGCTTAGGCAAAGACTTCATGACCAAGAACCCAAAAGCAAAGGCAACAAAAACAAAGATAAATAGATGGGACTTAATTAAACTAAAAAGCTTCTGCACAGCAAAAGAAATACAGAGTAAAAAGACAACTTATAGAGTGGGAGAAAATCTTTATAAACTATGCATTCAATAAAGCATTAATGTCCAGAATCTATAAAGAACTCAAACAAATCAGCAAGAAGAAAACAAATTATCCTATCAAAAAGTGGGCTAAGGACATGAATAGACAATTCCCAAAAGAAGATATACAAATGGCCAAGAAACATGAAAAAAACACTTAACATCACTAATTATAAGGGGAATACAAATCAAAACCACAATGTAATACCATCTTATTCCTCCAAGAATAGCCATAATCAAAAAATAAAAATAAATAAATAAATGTTGCCATGATGTGGTAAAATGGGAACACTTTTACACTGCTGTGGGGAATGTAAACTAGTACAATCACTATGGAAAAGAGTATGGAGATTCCTTAAATAATTAAAAGTAGATCTACCATTTGATCCAGCAATCCCTCTACTAGATATCTACCCAGAAGAAAAGAAGTCATATGAAAAAACACTTACACACGTTTATTGCAGCACAATTTGCAATTGCAAAATTTGGAAGTAGCCCAAATGCCCATCAATCAATGAATGGATACGGAAAATATTATATATATAAACAAATATATATATGCATATATATATATATATATAATATTTCATCCATGGTATATGTGTGTGTGTATATATATACACACACACACACACATATACCATGGATGAAACACTACTCAGCCATAAAAAGGAGTGAAACAATGGCATTCGCAGCAACCTGGAAGGAATTGGAGACCATTATTCTAAGTGAAGTAATTCAGGAATGAAAAATCAAACATTGTATTTTCTGACTTACATGTGGGAGTTGTGCTATGAGGATGCAAAAGCATAATAATGATAGAATGAAGTTTGGGGACTTAGGGGGAAAGGCAGGAGGAGGTAAGGGATAAAAGGCTACATCTTGCGTGCAGTGTACACTGCTGCAGTGATGGTTGCACCAAAATCTCAGATTCTCAGAAATTACCACTAAAAATCTTTTCCATGTAACCACAAAACACCACCTGTTCCTTAAACACTACTGAAAAAAAAAAAAGACGTGGAATCAACATAAATGCCCATCAATGGTGAACTGGATAAATAAAATGTGGCACATATATACCACAGAATAATACACAGCCATAAGAAAGAATGAGATCATGTCTTTTGCAGCAACATGGATGGAGTGAGGCCATTATCCTAAGTGAATTAACACAAGAGCAGGAAACCAAATATCCCATATTCTCACTTATAAGTGGGAGCTAAACACTGAGTACACATGGACAGAAAGAAGGGAACAATTGTCACTAGGTGAATTTGAGGATGGAGGGTGGAGGGTGGAAGGAGGGTGAGGATAGAAAAACTACCTATTGGGTATTATTACCTGAGTGACAAAACAATCTGCACACCAAACCCCTGTGACATGCAATTTATCCATATAACAAACCTGCTCATGTACCCCTTGAGCCTAAAATAAAAATTGAAGAAGGATAAAACTCCTAAGAGTTGTCACTTTTAGTAGAGGTATGGGTATTATGATTTGAAGGCATAGTCAAAGGTCATTTCTCCTTTATTTATAAAGTTCTAATTTTTATTTTATTTTTTTTTTTAAGTTCTAATTTTTAAAAGAAAAGTGCATTTGGGCATTTTATCATAAACATTAATTTAAAAATTCACTGGATTTCATAGTAACTGTGTAATGGATGAACTTTGCCATGAGTGTCATTGGAATGGATAAGCAGAGACAAAAGTTAATGAATTGAAAAATGAAAAGGAGTTAGGATCTAGAGACAGTAATTACAGACTTATTTTGAGGAATTCAAATGTAAGGCAAATGGATGGTAGATAAAGATAGATGAGGCACTGGATATATGGCAAGAATTTTTGCTTGCTTGTTTTCTTTAAAATGAGAAAGTTCATATTTATACACCTGTGTCTATATAAAATGTTTCTCAAATATATATATACACATACACATATATGAAATATGCAACTGTATTTACATATAATTGTGGGGAAGAGGCCATTAGATAGATTAAAACATACAGATGAGAAGGGATAAATTGATCGTGTGAATATTATTGATGATATACATTTAGAGGATATGAATGTTTGTTAAAAATTTGATACAATTTGGGACATGGCTCTGCTTTTAATCAACTGATTTCCAAGGTTTTCAACACTGTGAAAAGAATTTTAACAGAGCTTTTCTATACAACATTCTGAATATTTTAACAATTTTAACCAAGCATCCTTAATTGAATATTTTCATTTAAAAAAATGAGAAAGAAATTACCCTAATAGAAATGCCCATTGCCAAGGAAATTTCATAATGAAGTGGGAAAAAACAGCAGCTGCACTTGCCTCTATAAGGCATGGACCTGCTGCCAATCTGAAACAAACCCCCTTCAATTGCTTCAAAGCCTGAAATACAAAACAGTCATACTTAGATACATTTACAATGGCCAACAAGAAAATTATGTAAACAAATATCAAAATATAAAGTTTTTTTCATGAGAAGCTTTCACTAAATGAAATCTCATTTCAACAGATGGTCCCATTAGACTTGGAACATATAAAATTACATTTTATATGTCATCATAGATTGGATTATAAACAATTCATCTTTTATAAAATATTATTGTATTTTAATTATTAAAATATCAATTTTACTGTGACTAAATAGCTATTGGTACCTTCCTTAACTTTCTTAATAAATAGTATAATGATAGTGACCTATTAGTGTTTTGTCATCAGTTAACTTTTAGAGATGAACTGTTTGATTAACGTAATAATTATAAATAGAATCCCAACATGCCAAAGAAAATCACTTAAAAACTGCGTAATTAATTTTAAAAGAGAGAGCTTTTCAATTTTCTCCTTGGTTCATACTTTCTACTGGAAAATATAATCTCATTGGCCATAATTGTTTATGCTCAAGATATTTCTATTAAAGTACATTTGGCACATTTATTTGAGTAACTATCATATTGATGAATAGTCATCTTCTTAAAGATGGGATTTATGATCCCTAGATTGTAATATTTTAAGAAATACTTTAAAAGATTAGATTTTACAATAATGCAAAGATAATCAGAAACATAATTCTGTGGAGAAAATGTCATGAAAAAAGAATCACTGAAATCCTTACTTTCCCTAAAAAAAGAAAAAGACTTCTATAAGATTTTTCTTATCCTATGTTAAATGAAAAGTACATAGTTCTCCATGGAAGAGCTTCCCAAATAATATCGTGGCTACCTAAGAGACTTTTATCTCTGTGCAAATGATTAAAGGAGGTCTCTAATAAAGACTTTACGACACAGTCAGTTCAGTTCTCTTCATATCAGTGATAATGTTGGCTAAAAATAGAACTTACAGTGCCATTATTTCTACAGTCTTTTTCTCCTTTTTTTCTTTTTTTTTTTTGGAGATGGAGTCTCTCACTCTGTCATCCAGGCTGGAGTGCAGTACCACTATCTTAGCTCACTGCAACCTCTGTCACCCAGGTCCAAGCAATTCTTTTGCCTCAGCCTCCCAAGTAGCTGGGATTACAGGTGCATGCCACCACACCTGGCTAATTTTTGTAGATTATAGGCAGGAGCCACCTCGCCCTTCCTTTTTTTCTTTATCTTAGGTTTGTTTACAGACTCCACTTGGAACAGGTAAATAAAATTTTTGTCTCTTTTTCTTTCCCACTATCCTCAAAATTTTGAAATAAGCTTACTCAATTTATAATTGTAAATCTACCTGTGGATCAAGTCCAAGCCCAGCTCGTATTAGAATAACAGTAAGGGCAATGTTTCTTAAAACTGAAGACAATGTGCTATCGACATGGACATGTTTACTGATGAATGGAACATTCCTAATTATAAAACCAGCCAGCAACATCCCTTAAAAGAAAGAAAATAAAGATACATGATTCAGTTCCTTTTTCTGAGAAAGAAAACAGAAATGTTTAATTTCTTCCCTAATACACTATGTCTCTCATTATTTTCGTAAAGGGCAGGTTACAAGCAAGTAGAGAATGTGGCATGAATAAAGGAATGGCAATAAGAAACAGTACATCTAAAGGGGTTCCACAAGTAATTTAGTGTTGGTGGAACATACAGGGCAAGGAAAGGAGGGAGGAGAATGAACTTGAAGGGCCAGATCATGGAAAGGTCTCCCCCAGCTTTGGCAAAATAAGGCATCATGGGAAGGTTTTAGGCAGAAAGTAACACAATGAGTGTGGTGTTTTTTTTATGTGAGGAACTTGGTGAATTAGTTAGGGATAAAACTGGAAACAGAGATTAATTTGAAGACTCTGTCACAGTCCATGCAAAAGTTGGCAACAAATAGCCTAAGCCAGAGCAAAAGAGAAAGTCTGGAGAGGAGAAAAATGAATCTGTAAATACTTAGAAGCTGCTGCAAGAAAACTGTGGATACAGAAAGGACAGCAGAGATAAGATGTATAGATTATCTCTACTGACAGTGTACTGAATATATATTTATTTTTTGGGACAAGGTCTCATTCTGGTGCCCAAGTTGGAGTGCAGTGATGCAAACATGGCTCACTGCAGGCTTAACCTTCTGAGCTCAAGTTATCCTCTTGCCTTAGCCTCCTGAGTAGCTAAGACCCAGAAACATTTTTAAGTTTTTGTAAAGACAAGTTCTGCTATGTTGCTCAGGCTGGTTTTGAACTCCTGGGCTCAGGCGATCCTCCTGCCTTGGCCTCACAAAGGGCTAAGATTATGGGCATGAGCCACTGTGCCTGGCCTACTGTATATTTACATATGTTTGAATACAGTAAGTTCTCACTTAACATCATTTATAGGTTATTGGAAATGGCAACTTTGAGTAAAATGATGTAAAACAAAACTAATTTTATCATAGGTTAATTGATACAAACAACAGTCAATTTCCTATAGCATATTTCTGGTCACAAAACATCACAAAACTTCTAAACACAGACCCAAAACACTTCTAGTACTAAGCAATGAAATAAATGTGAGCTCTATATACATTTTAGAAAGATTTATAAAAACAAGTAAGATAATTACTTACCTGATTTTTGGTGAATCCATGAATGATCGTGGTTATAGTGGTAAGTTAACATCAAAGAATAAATCTTTACAAAGTGAAAATGGTAAGGAGCACCTCCTCCCATCATGCAGTTCAAAAACAATCACAAATATTGTAGGCAGACAGCTTTCATATCACATTGTTTATTGTCATGCATTTGTATTGTAGTTATTCCTTTATTCATTATACAATCCACTTATTCTAGTTCAGGTTGACAGGTGACTGAAACTTATTCCAAGAAATCAAGGACGAGGAATTCCTCCCTAACACAGTCTATGAATCCAGTATTACCATTACATCAAAATCAGGCAAAGCCACACACACACACACACACACACACACACACACACACACACACAACTTTCCAATATCCCTCATGAACATAGATGCAAAAATTCTCAACTAGCAAACTGAATTCAGCAGTACATCAAGGATGGTTCAACATATGAATCATTCTACCATAAAGACACATATATGCATACGTTCATTGTACCACTACTCATAATAACAAAGACATGGAATCAACCTAAATGACTAAATAAAGAAAACATGGTACATATACACCATGGAATACCATGCAGTCTTAAAAAAGAATAACATCAGGTCCTTTGCAGCAACATGGATAGAGCTGAAGACCATTATCCTAAGTGAAATAACTCAGAAACAGAAAAATTCAATATCACATGTTCTCACATGGAAGTGGGAGCTAAACAATGGGTACACATGGATATAAAGATGAAAATAATACACACTGGGGAGTCCAACAGGAGGGAGGGTTGAAAGGTTAAGGCTGAAAAATTACCTATTGGGTACAGTAGTCACTATTTGGTGATGGGTTCACCAGAGTCCAAACCTCACCATTATGCAATATATCCATGTACCAAACCTGCATATGTACGCTGTGAATCTAAAAATTTTTAAAATTCTATTAAACAATATAGCAACAGGAATAACATATTAAAGATATTAAGTTTATTTTAAAAATAAATTTTGGATAAAACCTGTGTGTGTATATATGTAGACAGAGAGAGAAATAAATACATCTATAAAGGAGCTGCACACACACACACACACACACACACACACACATACACACAGTAAATACATATATGAGGAAACTATATAAAACATTCTACATTGAAATATTTCTGAATTATATCTAATTTAACAAGAAAATTTTCAAAATTTGCATATATTCAATAATAAAGAAAAGAGAGCTAATTATATACTTACCAAGAAGAGGTGGAAGTGGAGGCACTAAAGGTATTCTAATGAGTTCTAAAAATTTTCCCCCAATAATGGCGCTATAAAAAATAATTAACAATCCAAACAAATTTCCACCAGGGAGAGCTTCAGAGCCTAAGATTGACCAGGTCATACACCAAATCGTAATGAGTATAACTCCTGAAATACAAAAAAGACTACAGTTATATATCTACATGACATAGATGTATAAAAGGGATCAATTCTCTTTTATCATATATACTAATAGCCAGTTCTATAAAATGATACATGGTGTAGACCAATATTGCTTACCAGTTTGGTGAAAGAGATATCTGCTTAACATATATTCCAAATAACCTGTCAATTTATGAGACAGGTTTTAAACAAAGTGTGTTTATTTTAAAAAGAAATGATAGACCATTTAAGAAGAAATGATACATATATTTAAGGAGAAATGATACATATATTTCAAATAACCTATCAATTTATGAGATAGGTTTTAAATAAAGTGTTTTCATTTTAAAAATATTTAAAACCTATATGTGGGCCAGGTGCAGTGGCTCATGCCTTTAATCCCAGCACTTTGGGAGGCCGAGATGGGAGTATCACCGGAGGTCAGGAGTTTGAAACCAGCCTGGCCAACATAGTGAAATCCCGTCTCTTCTAAAAATACAAAAATAAACCAGGTGTGGTGGTGCATGCTTGTAATCCCAGCTACTTGGGAGGCTGAAGCAGGAGAATCACTTGAACCTGGGAGGCAGAGGTTGCAGTGAGCCAAGATCATGCCACTGCACTCCAGCCTGGGCAACAAAGCAAGACTCAGTCTCAAAAATAAATAAATAAATAAAAATAAAACTTATATATGAACTCTTGAAAATGCTAACCATTATAATATATGACAGTTAAAAACATCATGCCAATATGATGAGATTTACTTCATTTTATATTTTAAGATAGCTTTTCCGTCAGGATGGAAAATAAGAGGATGACTGGCTGTGATAAGAATTCATAATCTTATTGAAGATTACAGTGTCAGGGTGCCAAATCATTTAACAGGAACATACTAAATCTTTGTATTGAAAGGATAAGTCGATTGATATTTGACATAAATGTATTAGAGGAGGTAATGGCTGGAATAAATGAACTGAGATGGGAATAAATATAAAGTATCTTAGATCATGTGTAGGAAGTAGAAGTAGATAAGATTCGTAGGTATAAGTTATTAGACATCTTGCTTCTGGCAACTAGGTGCTACTCACAGGAATCCATAGGTTTCTGTAAAGGACAGACAATAACATGTTAAATTTCCATATGCCAATTAAATGGCTAGCTTTATTTCTTATGAATCCTAATTGCTAATACTTTTGATGTTCTTAAAACAGCTTACAAGCATTTTTTAGCTATGATCCCTTTTTGGCTTTATAGAAATTGCCAGAGTGAAAGAGGATTTTCACTCACTCCAGGCAGAAAGTTAGAACAAAGTTTCTTTCTCCCTCTCCTCTGATTATTGTCATCCTACAAAACTGGAAGCCTTGGAAGGCTAAACTCTTGCTAAAAGAATGAACCAGTCCAGGCACGTTGGCTCACTCTTGTAATCCCAGCACTTTGGGAGGCTGAAGCGGGTGGATCACCTAATGTCAGGAGTTCCAGACAAGCCTGCAACATGGCAAAACCGTGTCTCTACTAAAAATACAAAAAAATTAGCCAGGTGTGGTAGAACATGCTTGTAATCCCAGCTACTTGGGAGGCTGAGGCAGGAGAATCACTTGAATCCAGGAGGTGGAGGTTGCAGTGAGCCAAGATAGCACTACCGCACTCTAGCCTGGGCA